TTAGGTAGTCAACTAGGTGGAAGTCATGATCCTAGATTCCTTTATCAATTGAAAAATAACTCAAAACCAAAACTATTGTCCTTTAGTTTTATCTTTGCAATCAATAGATTAAAGTAGAAGTAATACACCAATCAACATTGTGGAAGTACAATTTAAGCCAAAACTTGCAATCAACTTAGATATACACCTAATACCACATTCTAACTCCCTGTGAATTCGATCCCGACCTTTGTTGGGTTATTATTGCATCGATCGCCTTGCTACTTAATTGTGGTGTGGGTTTGGCCGAGATCACCATCTACCTACTAAATTCTAGGGGGAGTGTATTGAGTCAGCTTTCTACATAATCAACAGGATCCCTTCTACTGTTCTTGGTAAAAAATCACCATTTGAATTATTGTACAAGAGGCATCCCTCTCTTTCTCACATGAGAGTCATTGGTTGCCTTTGCTTTGTCTCAAGTCTACCTAAGTGTGATAAGTTTCAGCCCCGAGCAGTGAAGTGTGTTTTACTTGGGTATGCTGTAAATCAAAAAGGATGTAGACTGTTGAACATTGAGAACAATACTCTGTTTGTCAGAAGGGATGTGATTTTTTATGAAGATGCCTTTCCTTTCCATAATCCTGAGATTGCTACTGAAAGCTTGCCCTTCAATACTGCCAGTCCAACCAGAGCAGGAGATACTTTCTTACCTTTTTTGTCCCTTCAGATTTACCTGCACCTATGGTGACCACTCCTCCTGTGCATTGTCATGTTCCTTCTCTGAGCCTATTTCTTTGACAGACACTACATCCATGCCAACTACAGAAGTAGTTTTGCCTGTTAATGAATCCGCTATGCCCAATGCACCATAGGACATTGTCAGGAAATCCACTCGAGTATCTAAGCCACCTATATGGCTTAGTGATTATGTGAGACCAAACAAGCAAGGACAGTCCAACAATTGCATATATCCTTTGTCTGATGTAATTGGATATGATCATATCTCCACTAAGTACCACAGTTATCTTTCTCAATTTTCCAATGAGGTTGAACCAACCACTTTTCATGAAGCAGCAAAAGACAAACGTTGGGTTGAGGCTATGCAGGCTAAAATCAAGGCCTTGGAAGACAACAATACCCGGGAGTTGGTTCCATTGCCACTAGGTAAGAAACCTATAGGATGCAAATGGGTCTATAAGATTAAGTATAAGGCTTCTGGAGAAGTGGAGACGTTCAAGGCAAGGCTTGTAGCTAAGGGTTTCAATTAGAAGGAAGGACTGGATTACAAGGAAACATTCTCTCCTATAGTTAAAATGGTGACTGTTAACTGTTCTTTCCTTAACTGCTTCTAGGCATTGGATCATTCATCAAATGGATGTGTACAATGATTTTTTACAATGGTGATCTCACTGGGGAGGTCTATATGAGTCTGCCGCAGGGTTTGAGTAAGCCTGGAGATACATCATTGGTTTGCAGATTACATAAATCACTCTATGGTCTTAAACAAGCTTCTCGTCAATGGAATCTTAAATTGACCTCTGCTCTCATTGTCTCAGGCTTTCACCAAAGCCATCTGGACTATTCTTTATTCACCAAACGACTGCATGGTCACATAGTGGTATTTCTAGTGTATGTCGATGACCTGCTCATCGCTGGTGATGACATGTCCTTGATCCAGGCTACTAAGGATGATTTACAGCAGAATTTCAAAATCAAAGACTTAGGGGAGCTCAAGTATTTCTTGGGTATTAAGTTTGCTAGGAGTTCTAAAGGGATTTTGATGCATCAGAGGAAGTACTCGCTTGAGCTTTTTTGCAGACCTGGGCTTGTCTGGTGCTAAACCTATAGCTTCTCCTATGGAACCTAATCTAAAGTTGACAAGATATGAATTTGATGGTCATATAGGTCTCATTGATGATCCACCTCTTGATCATCCTGGACCTTATCAAAGACTTCTGGGCAGGCTGCTTTATCTTGATGTCACTAGGCCAAACATTTCGTTTGTTGTCCAGTGCCTTAGCCAATTTATGCACAAACCTAAAGTGTCCCACATGGACGCTGCTTTACGTGTAGTCCGATACATTAAACACTGTCCTGGGTTGGGTATTTTGCTTAAGTCTCATTGTTCCGAGTCTTTGTCAGCCTTCTGTGATGCTGATTGGGCTGCATGCCCCAATTCTAGAAAGTCTGTCACAGGCTATATTGTTAAGTTTGGTGATTCCATCATCTCTTGGAAATCCAAGAAGCAATCTACTATTTCTCGAAGCTCTACTGAGGCTGAGTATCGCAGCGTAGCCTCTACTGTTGCTAAAGTGGTGTGGCTCCTTGGCTTATTCAAAGAGTTGGGTGTTCCTCACTATTCCTTTGTACCTGTCTATTGTGATAGCAAATATGCTCTTCAGATTGCAGCAAACCCTGTGCTCCATGAGCGCACCAAACATATAGACATTGATTGCCACTTTATCCGCGAGAAGATTCAATAAGGTCTCATCTCTACTTTCTATTTGGCTTTAACTGATCAGCAAGCAGATTTACTTACCAAAGGACTTGGCCGGGCTCAGCACGGCTACCTTGTGTCCAAGCTAGGAATGAAGAACATCTTCATACTTCCTAGCTTGAGGGGGGTGTAAAGGATAGTATTACTTAACCATAGTTAGTTAACTATGGTTAGTCACTTACAGTTAGTTGTACAACTGTCAATTATTTGTATTAGTTAGTGGAGCAACTACATATGTAACAGTGTAGTTAGCAGCTCAATGAAACAGTGGAAATTTCTCAATCGCTCTTCTCTTCTTCTCTTCTTCTCATTTCAGTTTCTGCAATTCACAGATTCAACATTCTTCTTTAAATTTTTCTAAATCTCTTACAGGCTTACACACGAGTAGATTTCCTTAATCGCGCCTGTACTCGTGGTTTAGCCATTAACAGCATTGGAATAAAAGCTGAAGGGCTTGAGGTGTGTCAATGCTGGTGGTTCTAGATTTTTAACCACTTGGTTATGAAAATTATTAGTAGGTTATATTGTCCTTTTCTATGTGATTTAGCTTCTGATGGCTCGGATATCTGATTTACAGAAGGGAAATGAATGGGTATCAAGTAAAATGGCTGAGCTTGAGAAGGAGAAAGAAGCTGCACTGTGCAAGATAACTCAGCTTGAGAGGGAAGGAGAAGTTCAAGTTGCATTAACTAAGATACATAAGCTTAAGAACGAGAAAGAATGCACAGAGAATAAAGTAGCTTTGCTTGAGAGGAAGAAAGAAGCTGCATTCAGTAAGATAGTTGTGCTTGAGAAGGAGAAACAAGCTGCGATAAGTAAGATTGAGAAACTTTAGAAGGAGAAAGAATATGCAGCCAGGAAGATAGCTTTACTCGAGAAGGAGCTAAAAACTAAGGAATATATATTTGGACAATCTAAGAATGCTCAACTTCAGAAGGAGAAGAAGCTAAGAACCAAGTTTGTGGATTTCAAAAGGCATACTAATACTAAGCGTGAAAAAGTGAAAGAAGCTACAACGAGTAAGATAGCTGTGCTTGAAAAGGAGCTGGAAACAAAGGAAGTTAGAATGTATAAACAAGCTACAAGAGCTTTAAAGCAGATCCACGTTGAAGATAAAGAACCAAAGAAAAGGTGAAAGAGTTGACAGTAACTATGCAAAAGATCACCGAGGAAAGAAACTATTGGGAAAATTTAGCTAAGCAGCTTAAGGCCAAAGAAAGTGAGACTGCTGAGCTAGTAGAAGCTCGAAAAGAGATGATTAAGGTATGGGTCTTTGGATATTTCTTTGAAGCATATATTTTCTACAGCTACGCCTTAAACAATATTCAATTAATTAGATCAGGCATCAAGCTACTGTGGTTTTTTCCTAAGGAAATATGCTTTTGATGCTCAGAATTATCCCAACCTGTAGCATCTAAGACAACAACTTTCTATCCTTTGTTTCTATGTTTCCCTTTCTCTATCTACATATATGTAAAATTGGTGACTATACCACTCTGCTTTGAAAGCAATTTGGAAGCATTTGGTATAGCATTTCATTCTGAAAAATTCCCTATGTTGAAACTCCTAATTCATCATTGACAATGGATGCCTCATGTATTTCCCACAAACCATTTAGTTTAGTTTTTACTGAAATTTGGAAGAATTACCATTCCTATTAATTCTAGAGGCTATGGGCGGAGGTAACTCCTAAAATATGCACACAAGGTTTTAATTATCTGAAGTTTGATAGCAGCATCTGTATGGAATCCTTGCATGTTTATGTAGTTTGATAGTAGTATATATTTGGAAATTCTTACCTGTTTTAACATTTTACATATAAGTACATGAACACTCTGTAGCAGGTGTACTTCAATTCAGATGAGCATACATTAGAGTCGCAGGTCAAAAATTTTAGAGGTGAAGAAAACAGTGTGGCTCAGTAGGCACTTAACCAAAGTAAAATACCTGCTTATTGGAATGTTGCCTTACCACCATTTGTTTATTCTAGTAACGTTTCCCTTTTTGCTTGTCTGTTGGATTCTTTTGTTTACAGTGTGTAGACCATTGAGGTGTAAATATCTCCTTACTAATTCACTTTCCACTCTGGATTTATGAGATAATAACTGACATGCTTTCTTTCTTTTCCAGATTCTTTCTGACATGTGCAATGGTGACACGGATATTGGGATAAAGAGATTTGGTGTCATTGATAGCTCTCCTTTTCATAGTGCATGCAAGGAGAAATTCTCGCATCAAGTTGCCGAAGAAAAAGCAACAGAATTGTGTTCTATTTGGCAGACAGCTGTGGAAAACCCCAAATGGAATCCATTCAAAACTATCACCTCAAATGGGGAAGTTCAAGCAGTACGTATCTGAATCCTTTCTTCTTTCCTTGTACTTGTTTAAATTTCATTTTTAAAAAAAGAGATTTTCAATCTGTTGGTACTTGTCCAACTGAAATAGAAAACTTTGTTTCTTAATTTCAGAACATAAGTTCTTGGAAGTCAAGTAACTCGTGTTGTCAGATGATGGAATAAATGCACCCCTGTCATAATAAATGAGTGACATGGTGCAACAAAAAGATTATGTTCAAACTGATTTCTCTATTTTCTATGGTCTAAATAACGACAATCAAGTTATCGATACAATTCGTTCGCTCTGAATTTCTCTCCTTCCCTGGAATTCCAACTGAACTATTTATCGGATGTCCCCTCCGAGACTTTTTCAACTGAACTCTTTCTACTCTGAATAACATGAGTTCATATTCAACCATGCTTAAAACCATTATTTGTGCTTTAGGAAATTAATGATAGACCAAGAGGACAAGCATCTCCAGCAGCTGAGGAAAGAGTGGGGATATGAAGTATATTTAGCTGTTGCCATAGCCTTGATAGAAATTAAAGAGTATAATATGAAGGTGAGAACCACGACTCATCAGCTCTGGAATTTCAAAGATGGTAGGAAAGCTACGCTAAAAGAAGCCATTTTGTTTAATGGGGAAAAAATTGAAGGAGGCAAAGATCAAAGATACAGGTATGCTTTGAGTGTCTTATACTCCTATTATGCTGCAATAGCTGCATTCTCCTTCAGCTTGTAGGTTCAAGTCAGCTTTTCTTTGAAGTGTTCTAAGTCTTACAAACACCTTGTTATGTGACTCATTGAGGTCAATCAAACACGTAATGATAGGCTTTGAGTTACCGTTTAGTTGTTTAGTTGCCAGATAAGATTAAGAGGAACACCAAAACAGATTTTGTATAACAGAGTTAAGCATCTGAATAGCAAAATAAGAAAAATGTATTAAGCTTTGTACCTTTGTATACTCGGGGAAGTTTGATTGTTCAAAAGGGCTAGTATACTATCTTTTCTTTTTGCAAATAAGGACAAGGGTTTTAGCGAAGGCTCTCCCCTTTGCCTCTGACATTATGATTGAGAACCTAAACTAAAATCACCTTTTTTAAGATCATTGCTATTAGCACTTTAGGCCTATCTAGTAGCAGAATTCTGGCCCCTACACTTTAGATTGAGTTGGCTTCTCTTTGCTTTTGATTCTACATCTGGAGGGAAAAAAACGAGTAAAAGATTCTTACCCTAAGGAATGTACCATATTTTTGTTTGTTCTTTGATCGCCCTTTTTATATGTGTGAATTTTCATTGGATGTATGGATACTACAGGGAAAGGGAGTACTGTGTATGAGATAGATCAGTTGTGCCAAGTTAAAATTTTCTTAATTAAAGACAAATAGAGACCAGAATTTGAGTCCCTATAGGGAGAAAAAAAGGTTAGGTGATTCATTCTCGCCTGGCTAAGCCTTGGTGGCCATAGTCCTGTACTGGTGGAAGAATTATATCGGAGGTTGCCGGTGGAATAGTTGAGGTGCGACTTGAACAGTGAACACCACCGCTATCAACCTTTTCTTTTTTGTTTAAAAAGCTCATGCAACTCCCTTCCCTCCATGAAGGAAGACAACTGGCCTACAGTTATGCATGTGGAGATTTTAGGTGCCATCCTTGGGTATCTTTGAAAGAAAATAGTATAGCTGTGTTAAATGCTTTTGAAATATGCAACAAGTATTCATCTCTGTAATTGAAAAGCATGAAAAGTATGCATTGGTGTAATAGAGATATATGAAAAGTATGCATGTGTAATGAGTTACACTTTCTCTACTTAGGATTTGTCAAGGTGGATCAGTTGAAGCCAGGGACAGTGGGCAAGAATCTAATTGTCAAGGTTTTAACTTCTAAATACTGATGTGGTGGTTGACAGGAACCAAACCAACAGGTGGCAGTCCCAATCGTCATGTGTATATTCTCAACCGCAAATAACAGGTGTAGCTGAGAGCCTTGTTGGAGATGAAACCGGAACTATCATATTCACCGCTCGCAAAGAACAAGGTAGTGTCAATTTTCTTCTTTTTATTGCCTTGGCATAAGTTCATTTTTTATGAACTGACTGCATTCTGAGTCCTAGATTTGCTGCATCTAGCACTCCACTATCAAGGAACGGATGTTTACAAATTTGATTTCTATTAGCACAAATTATGCTTATGATAGCTCTGGTTTTATCATGTAGTTGACTTGATGGAGCCAGGTAGCATCCTCCTTCTTTATGGTGCAAAAGTCCAAATGTATCGAGGCTTCATGAGGTTAGCTGTAGAGTATCGTATACAAATCATAATCGCAGAACCTGTGGAATTTGTTGTCAATGAAGATGACGAGCAATGTCTTTGGATGAGTATGAGGTAACACTACTTAAAAAACAGCTGTTTCACCGACCGAAGTACCGGCGGACTTTTTCCAGTTGCTATTCCGAGGGACTTCCCGTGGGAGTCCCTCATTACTTTTGAACTTTTTAATTTCTAATTTTTTTAAGAAAAAAAAAGCCAATGGACAATTCTCAGTAAATAATGATACTTTGACCGGTCAAAATTTAATTGGTTGTACCGATGCACTCCGTCACTAATTTACCGACGGACTCTCTCGCAATAATTTGTATTTATATTTTTGAATTATTCTTCTAGGTACCGATGGTGTCTCTCGGTGTATTTAAAAAGATAAATGAAAAAGAAAATAAAGTTATCGACGGACTCAATCGCTATTGCATTTAGTAATAGCAATAGTCAAGAATTCTTGACGGTATCGAGCTGGAACAACCTGCTCTTCCTGAATTCCCGATTTAAGGCCAAAGAATTTCTTGCCGCTACCATATGTATTCATCTCTACTTGGTGATAAATAAAGCATTCGTACCCTGGTTATCTTTTTGTGTTAATTGACCTAAGCCGCACCCTTAATACTGAGGTGGGGCTCGGCCTGCGAACCATACGTGAGACGCGTCTTTGCCTCATACAGCTCGGGCCGAAGACCAGGGGAAGTTTAGAAGAGATGGGAAAACCTAGCAGTTGTCGGTCCGGGCGGGGATAAGCTTGCTTCTTCACAAGCCTATCCTCCCCCCCCCCCCC